AGGAATTTGCGCTAACAGCAACAAACCAACACGCGAAGTGGTATGGGCTATCGAAAACAGACGACACAGTGCATGATAACAAAAACGCTCGAGTACCTGAAGCTGAGCAGTGGAAGGCCGAATAAATGCTAAACCAAACTCAAGTGAAGGTCTAATAAAAGACAAAAACAACAACCTGGCAACACGAGGAGCAGACCCACCAAAGTACGAGACATAAGGTGCAAAAAGATACAATGAGGCACGAGCTTTCTCTAAGCGATGATCAATAGTTGCAGCAAGATCAAACCCTTCAATAGTAAAATAGTGACCAAGGTATCTAAATGAAACCTCTACAGGGAGGGCAGAGCCATGAAGCTTCAAGGGGGGGGGTAACCGTTGAGAAGATAACACAGCACACTTTGAAGGTGAAAACACAAAATGAGAAGCTAAAGCAAAATCTTCACAAATTTTCAATGCACGTTGGGCTTGCTCAGGGGTGGCAGAAAACAAAGCTATGTCATCAGCAAAAAACAACGAATTGAAAACAGGAGTGTTATAAGAAAACCTAGCAAGATGAGAAGATTCACGACGAAGGAGCTGTGCTAAAGGATTGATGAAAACTGAGTACAAGAACGGAGACAAAACAGAACCTTGAAAAAGACCTCGTGGAAGCGAAAACAAATCAGAAGAACGATTCTCTATAACAACCTGAGAAGAACAACGATCAAACATACTCATCAAAACAGAGATCAAACGGTTTGGAATTCTGGGAAATTGACGAAGACGTTCCCACAAAAGAGGCCTATGCACAGTATCATACGCTGCTTTAATATCTAAGAAAGTAACACAATAAGGCAGAGCAGTGCGGGAAGCCCGTCGAAGGGTAGCATCTAATGCAAAAACACACTCAACACCTGAACGATTGGCCTGGAAACCAGCTTGGGCGGGATCAAGTTTACCAACATGAGCTACAAGCATAGGAAGCAGGGTACGCTCAAAGATTTTTCTATCAACATTGGTTAAAGTAATGGGGCGGTACTGACTAATATCACCAATGGAGCCCTTATTCTTCCAAACAGGTAACAACAAGCCAGCATTCCAGGCAGAGGGCGACAAACCTGAACGGAAAATAGCGTTTGAAAGTTGAACAAAAAGGATAGCAACATCAGAAGCTAACGGCTTAAATAACTCAGCTGGAATATGGTTTGGGCCAGGAGCAGAGTTGTTTGGGGAAGAACGAATAGCACAAACAAAGTCACTAACACTAACTGACACAGAATCATTCAGCGCATGTAGACGAACGTGTTCTGCACTGGCAGAGGATTGTGCAAACTGAGTCTGATAAACGGAGGCAAAGTGATTGCGATAATGAGATAAAGAGGCAGGATCAGACAATAAACCACTTGCAGCTGAGCGCCGTTGATGACACCTACGCGCGGTGGAAAGAACTTTGCTAACCTCGGTTAAAGAACTAGGAGAAGAACTAAACATATTGTCGCCAGAAGCCTCTCGAGCTCGCTGAGAAAGAGACCAAGTACGAAAAGCTTTGACACGCTCACGCGATAGCCGGTCACGCTCCAAGCGGCAATACTCAACTAAACCAGGATCAGGAGCATCACAGGAAGAAACAGCTAAATAGTGCTTATGAGCAAGTAAGTAGCTCCGTCGCAAGGCCACTAAATGCGGCGGCAACAATGGCAGGGCAGGGCGACGGCGAACTAAACTGGGGGGTCCAATGACACAAGCAGCACATGAAGTAACAAAGGACAAAATAATATCCAATGCAGAGTCAATACATCCCTGTGCAACATCCACAGACATTTGGGCAAAGGCGGGAGCTTCTAAAATTGGACTGAGTGCAGCATTGACATCAGCAAGGGTGGGATCAAAAAACAAATGTCCCACATCCTCCATTGCTTGAAAGACAGCAGGTTCACGCAACAGATGAGCAGCCCAGCGCTTGTGGGGGGGTGCAGCAGAGGGAGCGCTGGCATTGGGAGGAGCAAAAGAAAAAACAGCTGTAACCGGAAAATGGTCAGAAGCCCAAGGCATAAACTCGCCGTCGGCTAGACGACTATGAACTATGTAAGAAATAGGATCACATTGAAGCAGAGGATTGACAAACAACAAATCGATAATGGAGTCACCATTGCGAGAAGAAAATGTGGGGTTATGACAGGAAGGGTGCTTAACTAGAGAGAAACTAGCGGCAGAAATAAACTGCTCAAACAACCTACCCCTACGATTTGAAGAATGATCACCAGTAGCTAAAAAACGGGCATTGAAATCGCCCAACAAAAGAACAGGGCACGGAGACGACGGGACATGTTGAGGAAGTGAAGCAATAAACTCTTCAAGGAAGGGGTCCTGAGCAATACCACACGGAGGCAAATAATACCCTCCAACCAAAAGCCCACGATATGTAAACCATAGAGAGGTGCCACCATAACTAGAAACGAGACGGAAATCAGAAGCTCTACAAAGACTGCGATTGATCAAGACTCCCACACCAGCCCGTCGTGTACCCGATGACCCAGGAGAAAAACGAGTGTCAAAAATCAAATCTGGAGAAGGCAGCGGGTCTAAAGGAAAAAGGTGTGTTTCAGTCAGGAGCAGAAAAACAATGTGATTTGCGCGCATAAAACGAAACAGTGAATCAAGAACTCCAAAGCTCAAATTGCGACAATTGAAGGTACCAACTCGAACACTAATCATTGACGAAGATGGGTTGAGCGAGGCTGACGCGCAATCCCGCGGGCACTGTCCAGCACAGTTTCCTGAGCATCCATGGGGAGCTGACCACGGACATACAGGAAAATAGCAGGATCAGTAACTGAACTGAGGATATGTGCATATCTCTTGTGGACAACTTCCCTGACCGCAGCCTCCCGCTGCTCCAAAGGCAGAGTAGAGGCTCGGCGAAGAAAGTCAGGGTTTGATTCGTCAGTGGAAGCTTCCTGGGTGGAGAAGTGCGCACGGAGAGCAATTGCGGTTGAGCGAATACAGATAAAGGAAGCAATGTTGCGACCAACGAAACTGATGTGGCGGATACCACGCACCACCTCATTGCCCAAGAGAGCCCTCAGCATGGTCCGCACAAAGCCGAGCCGCTGTCTCATGATGTCCTTGATGTACACAGTGGTCAAATCATCCACACGGGCCTGAAGATCAGCAGGTGGGGAGACCAGCAGCGGAGAGGTCGGAGGATAGAATACGACAGGCCGAGGGCCACGAAGGCTGACATTCGAAGTGGGGTCACGACCAGCAAGGGCAGTCCTGACAGCTTCTGTACGAGATTCAGCACTCAGTGTGGGGAGACTCTCAAGCACACGGGCACGGGCATTGGCAGCAGCAGCGGCATAAGTGCGTGGACCACGAGGTCCACGTGGGGCAGGTCGACTAGACGGGGGGCGAGGGCCAGGAGCACCAGAGTTCCCAAGATCGTCCTGAATTGGAGGATTACCATGCAGTTGTCTAGGGGGAAGGCACACAGGCGCAGCCACATCATCATGGCGGGAGACTGGGGCAACTGGAGGTGAAGGCGAAGGCAGCGGCCTCCCAAAGCGACCCACCAGATCCTCGGCCATATCACGACAAACACTAAAAAATTCAGCAGGAGTGTCCCTCGGCAAATGTGCAAGCATAGGATCCAGCATCGCCAACGGATCAAAGGTTGCACAAACAGATCGCATCTGAGTGAGAACGACACGGAGATCGGCCAGAGATGCAACACTCGAGGGAGCAGCCACAGCAGCAAGAACCCGGACACCCGGCAGATGTGATCGGGAACGAGAACGGGAGCGACCACGGGGCAATTCATGTTCAGCAGGTCTTTTGGCGCGTCGGTCACGTGATCGGAAGTCACGTGATTCGGCATTTTCATCCTCCCCCATATTCACATCATCGGCCCAGTGAATTGGAGAGGCAGGAGCGGAGAATGGAAGCTGTGGAGCGGAATTTTCAACAGAGGAGGCACGGGGGTGCGAACGGGCCTCAAAAATCACGGTGCCACCAGAAAGTCCATCAGGGGGCACAGCGGGGGGTGCGGCAGGCGGCGCGGCATGCGGCGCATCAGGCGGCTGCGCATGCGGAGCGCTGGGAGGCGGCATTGATTTTTGAGAGAGAGAGAGAGAGAGAGAGAGAGAGAGAGAGAGATAGAGAGAGAGAGAGAGAGAGAGAGGGATGAGGCCCGTGTAGCTCAGCGGATAGAGTGTTTGCGTGCTAAGCAAAGGGTCGCCGGTGGGATTTTTTTTTTTGAATGTTATAACATGTATTGACAATGCTTAATCAGTACATGTCACCCACGTGTACTTCAACCAAGATTTGGAATCTTCAGTACTTGGGGAGCCGTGCGAGCCGTAGGAAAGAGGAGCGAAGGCAATGGCGAATCGAAGGAGGTGTGGCGCGGTACTTGCACGTGACACGATATTGCGAGAGATATATTTCGTAGGAAATTCGAATCCAGTCCCCTATAGGATTCGAACCGCGGAGTTTAGCTTCGAAAAGTCGCATTCGTACCGACTGAGCCACTATGATTTTTTTTTTTTTTTTTAACAATATTATTATTTATTTTGCACATACAATGCATAACAAAAAACAACACCCAAAGTGCCTTACAAGATGGTCATGGACCAGCACATAGGGAAGCGCGCGCAGCATAAGGAAAACCAACAAAGCAAAACAGAGAATGTAAACTCAAACCTGTGGCTACCCGTCAGATACTGCTAAGGTGCCAAAAAAACAGGTGAGTAATAAATAATGAGAAAAGAAAACGTTAAAGATCCACAAATGCAGGGCCAAAGAGGGAGTCTGGAGGAGAAACTTCTAATGGCAGACCCATACAGTGAAGCCAAATCTTATGGAGACAACGAAAAACTAGATACCACGGTGCAAGATTCACTGGGTTGACAATGCGAAGTGGACGAAGGCCATCAATTGCAACGTCAAGCAGAAGTTGTAAAACAGGAACAGGAACAGGAGGCAACAATAGGTCAAGACGCAAACATTCTGAAACGGATGAGGCCCGTGTAGCTCAGCGGATAGAGTGTTTGCCTCCTAAGCAAAGGGTCGCCAGTTCGATCCTGGCCTCGGGCTCATGAATTGCTGTTTATGGTGGGTGCCTCTCAATGAGAAGTCAGCCTTAATTAAGGTGACAATGTTTATTTTCTTATACTCGAATACATACACTTAAATTGGCGACTGTTTTCTTATACTCCGACATATACACTTATATTGGCGATTGGCACAGTAAAAATCTGTACTCTGTTTGAGCATGGTTGAGTACACTTCATCCTGAGACTTATTCACAGTGTACTCACAAAGTTGTTAATCTTGTACGCAAATTGTGCATGTTTTCTGAAGAGGGGTAACTACCTTCCAAACCAGCTTTCAATGAATGCCCACTGTTCAAATGCATGACTCTAGGGAAAAGAGAGGTGGAGAGGCAGAGAAATAGAAGATGATTTTAGGGGCTACACAGAGTACTATTGAATGTAACGTTTGCAACAACTTAAGTTGGTATGCCCATTTGTGGTGAATAATGATGTTTAATTGGCTGTCACACTACTATTACCAGAATCAGCTCCAGGGGATGAGCTGTGTTTATTTTGCTTTGACATAGAACAACGAGCCATTCTTGAAGTTGGTCAGTGAAGCAAATAATTAGCGTCGCAGATGAACTGGATGAACACTCACAGGTTTTGGTTGTTTATAATGGTACCAGCACTGGGAAAATTGACAGATAGACATTCTAAAGACTAAAACTACAGTATCATTTGTTGGTACTCACAATGTCTTGATCATGGTGCTGAACGCCCCTCCTCATCTTTTGGATTTCTGAAAACATGTTGCTTTCATTAATCTTGCCACCAGCATGCTAAGATCAAGGTTTGTAGCCTAGAATTTTTTAAAGTTTCCATAGAAAAATGGTCTTCAACTGTAACAGACACTACGCATATCTCGTCCCTGCTCCATGTTCCGATTCATTTTCAGAAGCAGCCACACAGCTGATAAGGTTAAAAACCCTTAAAAAACCTCCAGGACAGCAAATACATAGCAGAACGGTAAGTAAACAATGAGATAACAAGGTAAAACAAGATATCGCAGTTGAAAAAAAACTGAAACATTATCCAAAAGGTTAATTCCAAAAAAGATAATAATCACTTCTGTTTCAATGATTGTACCACGATTCAATGTCCTTTTTGAACTGTTTCCTTGGAATTTCGACAACCAGTGCAAAATTTTTGCGCTTCCACTTTTGCAGCTGTTGTTGCCCACACATTTCCCTCATCAGATGGAACCTTGAATTCATTGATGAGAGAGTCTTTCCTTGGCATTGCCCATAGTCGAGAAAGAAGTTGCCAAACGAAAAAATTGCTTCCCAGTTACCTGTGGATGGAGCCTAGTCGCGAAGTAGGGAGTTGAGTGGAGTGGTTTGGTGGAACTTAACCAGGGCAGATATGGTTAAAACTCAATTGGAGTTGTTTTCTATGCTCACTCAAGTAGACTTCATATTTGGAATATACCTACGTTCATTGGGGAAGTTGTGTAGAATACTGTGGTGAATCCATGTCGTCAGAGATAGGTACAAAAGTGATTAAGTAGAGTTGATCCTGAGACTCACACGCCATTCCATCATCGTTATCAACTCAACAATTATACTGACGGGTCTCTCTGCATCATGCATTGAGAACTCCTGGAGGTCTCCATGCTATCTGTTGTGGTGTAGTGTGTTATGTGTATGGTTATTAAAGTGACTGTGGTAATAGAGTCCTATATTCATAATCCAACAAGTTGCCCCAAGAATCTGCCGCCTTATAATCAACCACAAGCATTCTGAGAGGTGTTCAGCTCTTTGCATGCATCAACCACAAGTCTGCCACTTCTTGCAGTCCAGACTGAAAATGAGCATAGTATGTTGGTTTCCAGAATTTTAAACCTGATCAATTGCATTGCTGGCTGTTTGTAGATTGACAGTAATTGAATTCAATAATACGTTTGATCTTGTTTGATTGCTCCCAGCACACAATCAGGATCAGCCTTTTTATTGGAGATGTACTGGAATTTAGCAAACTTTGATCTGTTTGGCCTAAACCCAAAATGTATTGTTAAAAGTTCGACATTATGGCAACCAGAACAGCTTTAGAAATTCCACATTTGACAGATGTAAACGCATAAAACAAGTACAATTGAGCAGATGGATGTACCACCAGGGGGCAGTGGACTGCTACCGTTTACATAGCCATCATGCTGCGCTCTGCAGGGATTGCCATCATACTTCGTTCTGTTTGCTTGGATCCAGATGCACCTGTCATCCTAGGATTATTGTTCAACAGTAATCTTTGAAAGTGAGTAGATGTATGATACGTACAGGTTTCGGTTATTTTTGATTGCACCAGCACTTGAAAAAATTAGCAGTCAGAAAGGTTGGCCATTGAACGGAAATCTGGGGGCAAAAGCTGAACTTACAATGCTTTGATCATGGTGTTGAATGTGCGCTGCATGTTTCGGACCTCCAAGAAAAAGTTGCTTTCATTAAACTTGCCGTCTTCCAACATGCTGAAATCAAGCTTCGTAGCCTAGTGTGTGTTTGTTTGCGAGGTTACTGTAAGCACACACACAAAAAAGAGAAAAAATGCTTGGTTCACAAACCTTTTCCATATTCTGGGTCATGGTCTTCAATGGCCATGTGGCCAAAAGAGTCAACACGACCCCAAGCACCAACCCAAGGCCGGCAAACACAATTGCAAGAATCGTACCCTTTGTCTTTGATACATCAATGTCCCTTGTAAACTGATTCCTCGGCATCGCGACGACAAGTGCAAAATCGTCTCTGATCCCGCTCTTGAGCCGCACCGCCGTGGTCGCCCACACGTTGCCGTTGTCCGAGGGCACGTTGAAGTCATTGATGACCGAGTCAGTTTTGAATGTCGTGGCGTTAAAGTACGGGAATTTAGAGACTCCGCCTCCGTAGTAGGACAGGAGGGCTTTGCCTAGGTCTGCAATGATGGGGTCGGAGGCGTTTGTGACTGCCACAAAATCAGAATTGTTGGCGTTGGCGACACTAATGTTGACAACGTTGGCAAGTCCGAGCTTGTTCTCAAGGGTCATGAGGAACATGCGGTTGACGCCGTCAGGAGATGAGCTTTCCAGAACCTGAAAATTGGAGTTGGATCAGGGGTGGAAACACATATATTTGTTTGTTTTTGGCCCCTTACTCTGTAGTCTGGCTGGAAGATTGTGATGCAGAGGTAGGAGCCTGTTTGACCTGTTTCTTTTGTGGGACAGCGACTGTAGTCGAGGTAGAGGGCGTTTTTTTCTCCGAGAACGGCTTCCCATTCACCTGTGGAAGGGCACTCTAGGATTGTACGGGCGCTTGGGTTGTTGTTTGGGAACTAAAGAAAAGAGATAAGATGAGATGACACTAAAGTGAATTGAGTGCACTCACATAGACTTTATCTGCCATAAGGGATGGATTCCGAATACGGGGCTGTGGTATGCGTTGGCCAGTCGCTAACAAATTTTTGGGGTGAGAGGTTTGAATAGGTTGGTGTAATGTTTGTTAGAGAACCCACTTCGATTGAAGAAGTTGCACCAAGATGACGTAGCATTGTAATCAAGCCAGCAGAATCTGAACGCAGGCTACCTTAGTTAATTGATCAAGTAAACCTATATTCTCAGCCCTTACAGGCCGGGGTAGATCAAGGCATAGTATGTTTCGTTCCAACTACCATCAGGAGCATTTGATTCGAGCTTTTGGGGTTCTATTATTCAACGATAGAAATGCTGACATTGATACTTACTGGTCGCACCAGTCCCTGCCTCTGAAAACAAGCTGGAGTTGCAAGTCTGGTGAGTAAATTTGATGACTTTAGGGCTAGTCGTTTGGGACTCTCACCAACAGCACCGCTTGACTGGCTGAAGACGGTGTCAGCAAATAGATTGAGCTCATTGTTGTCTCCATAGTTGTAGATCTGAGTAGAAAAGTGGTTGTACACGACTGGAGCGTCAGTGAACACTGTGGTCATTCTCTGGATCTATCAAAGTTTCAACAAGATTCAGATGAAAAAAGAGTCGAGCATATGGAGAAACTCTTCGCACTTCTTTGAGCATGGTTGTGAACGAATTAGCGGCTGCCAATGTGGTCGACTTGAAAGTTTATCGGTTAGATTTATGTGGACGAGGATACCGATATTTTGTCATCCACTCACTTCAACAATCTTTGTTGTCATGTCATCGATAGATTGTTGGGCCGTGCCCAAGACGGTGACAAGACTCTTTTGGATCACGATCAGTCTCATGAACCAAGGTGCATGTTTGAGTGTGACTCACAGGCACAATGCCCAATGTCAGCGCACACAGAAACACGAACGGTAAGGCGATCACAAACGGGATTCCTTACAAGTCAAGTCAGTGATTGTTTATATTGGGGTGTTTGCTGATTTTTGATTCCTACCTGGGAGCATGCCGGTTCTGGTTTCACGCTTCGGTGCCTGCTTTGCAAGCTCTGCGACGGTTTGCTCCTTTTCGATCGGGAGTTCTTTGGTTGAGCTCAGCTGTATCTCCCTGGTGGAGGGCATCGGTAGCTCTCTGAAAGAACTCATTGATGGCAGACTTATTGATTGTTTGAGGGGTAGTGAATCTTTGTAAAGCAAATTCAATACGTTCACATTAACCGATCACCAATATGTGACTTTACATCCTCGTTGTTGTCGTCGATGAGCTGTTCGAGGGACGGGCTGTTGTTTATAACAGGTCTGGACGGGAAGTAAATTCGATCTTCAGAAGCATTGGTCGCTGGTTGGCTGGGTGCCGATCATGATGCACACAACGGGAGCCGGAGAATCTGGAGCGAATAAGCGGTTCCATTTTCTGCACATGTTGCGCAAGTACTCGTATCATAATAATTCGTACATCATTATCAGGCCTCTCGATTACTCATACTCCTCGTTTTAATATCACCCTCGGTCAAGGTCTGGGCCGGGTCGAACACAAATTTTTTTTTCAATGTTGTTTTTGCAACGAGCGGCGCAACATTGGTGGTTCAAGTTCAGACGCAATGCGTCGACGAGGACGAGCACTTCCACCCAGTCGCC